GTGGGTAGAAAAAGAAGGAGAGAAAAAATGGGTAACGTCATTGAAATGAGTGAGAGACAGTTTTTCAAAAAGTTCTTAAAAAATCCGGCAGACAAAGATAAAGCAAGCAATCCAGACAGAGTAAGCCAAAGACAGATGTGAATCAGAACAATAGAACAAGAGATGAGTGTAATAGCGGACGGGGAGGGGCAGATGAAAAGAACAAGTGAAGTGGAAGTGGAAAAGTGCTACAGAGAGGGAGAAGACGGAGAATCGTCAGATGCATCCCTACACCCTGCCATGATCAGAGTAGACACTGGATGATTTATTTTCCCTCTCCAATATTGAGCCCCTGGTAAAAAAAAGAGAAAGAAATCTACATTCCATTAAACTACTGAGGGTTTTATTCTGAAAGGAGAATGTGATTGTGGGTGTGAATGTGTGGGGGTAAAGGAATGGCCATCAGATGTGGCAATCATGCAAGAAAAAAAAGTTTCGCCTTATCTTTACTTTCTACTCTCCTCTTTGACTGCTGTTCTACTCTTTTCTGTGAGGGGTGTAATGAACGTTATGTAGAAGAAAAGGTGATTGCAACCAAATAAGATAAACCTATGAAAATCCCTTGAAGCCACATTCACTAAGCCCTTTTTTCAGACACCTGCTGTTCCTGTAATGTCATCATGTTATTTAGCAAACCATCATATCAGATCAATGGGGAAAGGCAGTTTGTCTTGTCTGCTCTTGTTCCTAATTCTGCGTATAACTTTGAGGAACGAATATATTTAAAAAAAAAAAAAATTGTTTATCATTAGTGTGACCAACTGTGGGTTTTCTGAAGTTTGGAAGTTTGGAAGTTTGGAGATTTGACGCAAGGGGGTGGTCAGAAAAAGAAGATGGGAGGCTTTTAGAGCATCAAATTGTTTCTTTGGAGATGGGACTACATTTTTAAATCTCTGTAATCTGAATTCATTTTTGAATATATTGTTTTAATAAGTCCGGCTCACCTTGCAATTAACAGAATTATCCGAGCAAGTGTAATAGACATTTGAATAGTTTCCAACTAGAGTTTATTTGCGACCCACCTACAGTTGAGGAGTTTAGTAATGTGAAGAATAAATGATTTCTACTATGGCATAATAACATTTTAGTTTTTTCAAATCGTATTTAATGTTTCTAATTCTGTCTTTGACCGTCTACACAGAAAACATGCTGCAATTTGAATCTGTGTGAGTGTGTGTGTCAACACAGACAGCAAAATGACAAATTGTTGAAAAGAAGAATGAGATGAGTAATGATGGAACAATAATGCCACATGTGTACTGCAGCCTGTGTGTGTGTGTGTGTGTGTGTGTGTGTGTGTGTGTGTGAGAGTGTATGTGTGGTGATGAATCTCTCATTGTGACAGTGGGGCCGGCAGCAGCGAATGTCCTTCTGGGTGGGACATACACACACACTGAAACACACGCATGCACACACTGAAACACGCATACACAGATGGAAACGACCACACTAATGGATCACCCCTGTCTGCATGCAATCCGCCACAAATAATGATGAACCACCCCTGCATTAAACTATTTTACACAATGCTCAATTCATTACTACTCTCTCTCTCTCTCCCTCGCTCTCTCCCTCGCTCTCTCCCTCGCTCTCTCCCTCTCTCTGTGGATATAGGTGAGCTAATAAAGGTATGATATTTCTCCTCTACCGGCACAATCATAGTTTTTATCCATTAGTAGGATATTAGGACTGGGAATGAGGGAAGGTGGGAGGGAGGGGTAGGGTGGAGAGGGGAAAAGAGATGGCTTTAAATTGGTTTAAAAGCATTGCCACTGTAAAAAGTAACAGCAGCCCCAGGTAGAAAATTAAGGAGCAATTTGCATCGTTTTTACCAAGAAGAGCCAGGGCCAGCCTCAGGCCTGAAAAGGCTCCAGGTGAGCTTCTGGTTTGAAGGCCTTCCCTATATTTTTAAATAACATTTAGTGACACACATACTGTATGACATCAGGTCAAACTGAAAGTGGATTAATCACTTTTTTGAGTTATCTCCGTGATGGGGAATTTTAATTAACTGAGAAAATAGGGCCTTGGGTGAAAATGAATGAAAGATTCAATAAAACTTTGATGGAAAAAGTATTAGTTTATTAAACACCAAACTCTATCTCGATATCACTTTTTTTATTTTATTTGTCCTTCTCTTAAAGTTTGAAGTTGGTTCAAAATATTTATATTATGAATGATACATTCCTTTCCTTTAACTGGGGCCTGCTAACAGATACTGTGAACTTCCAAAAAGCTATCCTATTGAAAATCTGTGAATCCAATGTAAGTTTGTAGAACCTAACATTTCCCCCCGATTCCGAATGACTGAAGTCTCCACTGGCAGCCAAATAAATATTACTAGATTTTTGGATAGAAATATAAAGTAGCACAAAATTACATACAGCTCATACAATATGAGCTGAACATGTTCATTTCGGCTTGATCTAACTGATTCTTAAAGAAGAGGTTACGATACATAATTGTCAACCATGCATTTAATTAGTTTTATTTATTTGTTCTATTTAATTTCCATATTTCATTACAAATTGTTGGACGTAAAGACCAAGAAAACCATCCAGTTTAAGTCCTTAACTTGGCTTAATAGCTAACTGTTTCAGGGAAATCTAAATCAATATGTTGTGTTTCATTAAAAGTGCTGCCAAAATGATAAAAGAGTGTAAAAAAATACATTTCTTGTTAAAATAAGATTCCCAGCTTCACTTTGCTCAGTGTGGGAGAGAAGAGAAGAAAGAGTCATTATGGATTTCAATTAAGTGATCCCTGGGCAGAGAGGGATGCGTCAGAGTGGGGGAATTAATGTGCTGCGGACAGATGTTTAATAATAATGGCCGAACTGGTCCTGCAGAGAAACACACATTCCACCCGCCGCACCCCACTGTGACTGTAGCAACACACAGACAGACACACTGCACAGACAGGCCCACATACACAGACACTTGTCATCACTCATATACTGACACACACACAATAATGATTCATACACACACGCTAAGCAGAGCAATGTGTGACAGTGTAACACACACATACACACACACATTCTACCAAAGACACTGGTGTCATACTGGTCTGTGTGTGTGTGTGTGTGTGTGTGTGTGTGTGTGTGTGTGTGTGTGTGTGTGTGTGTGTGAGTGTGCCTGTGTGCGTGTGTATGTGTGAGTTTGTATGTGTGAGTGTGAGTTTGTGTGTGTCTTTATGACCAGAGCTGGCCACAGCGCATATGGCCCTCATTTAGGAACAATGGGCATGGAGAATGACTGGTTGGATGAGCTTCCTGACTGTGAGAGGTGACTAGAGGCATGTTAAATGACATGCCCCGTATGGAGAGATGGAGTGAGAGAGGAAAAGAGGGACATGGGTAGTCCTGGATAAGGAATCATTGCTTCGCTGAGCAGCACAAATGTTTTCATTGAGAAGAGGACATAGGATGGAGAGAGAATAAAAAAGAAACAGAAAAGTGTAGAGAACAGGTGAAAGTACAAAAGAAGAAAGACGAAAGGGATACAACTCGATGGAAGGGTGTATTACAAGAGTAGAGGGACGTGGAGGGGATGATAGTCTAGCTGGATCTAGAAGTGGGTCATTAGACAGTGTGTAAACAGCATGTCTTTTTATGAAGTGCTCTCAGTCGCCTTTTTTTGCAGTTCTCTTGCAGATACACTTCTGGTGACACCTAATCAGTGTTGTGGCAGGATGAATGGCTTCACCCGTCCTTATAGTGTTGTCAAAAACAACACTTCCCTAAAAATCTCTCTCACTCACGTGCACTATTCTCCCCGTCTTGTCACAACAACATTTCTCCGGTAATTACCAGGGTGGCCGCCCTCCTGCCGCCCCGCGATGGATGGGCTGAGCCACCATGGGTTCGCCCCTCCAGCCATAACTCTACGTCTGCCTACTGCTTTTCACCACTGTGGTTGCCCTCAGACAGCAAATTGGCCTGAGAGAAAGACGGAGAGTCAGAAAAAAAGACCTAAACAAGCACCCTGCCTGGCTCACAGAGAATCTAGAGTACCAGTACACAGACATTAAAGAGCATGGAGACAGATACAGAAACACTCATTCACTTTCACTATTTGTCGTTTGCCTGTCTCCAAGGAGTAATTTGTAATGCAGGCAGTCTTTTCCTCTGACCATTGACCAGACAGATGTCTTTTCTTGCAGAGATGCACAAGTGCACACATAAACACACACATCACCCTGCTGAGGTGATCATTTTGACAGGTGAATATGGCTGAAGAGGAATGGAGGAGTGACGAGGATGGGAAATAAGGAGGGAAGGAAGAGTGGGAAGAAATCCACTGATAACTGTATGATGAAGGGTGATAACGTCAGGAGAGGAGCGAAATGGATGGAAGGATGGATGGAAGAAGTGCAGCTGGCAGATCAATACTCAGTTCCACAATCTGCATCCACAGAGCAGACATTTTTTTATGTAGGTTCTGGCATTACTACCCTGTCATTCCTTAATAACGTACACAGCATGTCTGCATCAGTACAGCAAATAAATGAGTGAAAGAAAGCAGAAATAAAAAGGTGGCTTTTGCTAAACTTCAAACTATGCTGATATCCTAGGTTAATTTTATAATAAACTGTAAATGTTACTTAACAAATTAAAATATGTTAATCACTGTAATTAGTCTGTGTTTCTTTAAGTCTAAATACAACTGAACAATACTATACAAGCATCTAAAAAAAACTAAATTCATTTTTCAAACCACAACCGCTAATTGCAGGACTCTATTCTAAAAGCTAACACACAGTATAGGCTATAGGCTAATGTATTTTTTACCAAATATGGACACTTTTTCTGGTTTGTTATGATGATTGACTGCTTTCGATAGGTTTAGTAAAGCACGCTTTATTTATCAGGTGAAGAAGCACATCCTACCTTCTGCTTTGAACGCACCATGCAAAACTGCTGTGTTGTCAAGACAACAGGTAAACTGTCGCCTCTCAAACATGGCGGAGTTGCTGAAGATAAAACGCGAAGTTGAAGAGTTCAAAAAGGAATACTTCAACAGAAACAGGTATGTGTCATTGAGTGAGTACGCCTCATTCAGGTGTGAAAAACCATTGTGGATATTGTTAAGAGAGTTTACGTTTACGTCACGCCAATTAGCTAATGTTAACCGAAATATTTCAAACGCTAGCATCATGCTTCCTTCAGTTAACTCAACCTTGCTAACTAGCTATAACGTCATTATACTAAGCGTAAACTATCATAGTTTTGACGCTATATTACTGTAACCAGCAAGCAGCCTTGGTTTGTTGGAATAGACATAGATGACTGACTTTCTGTCGTGTTCTAGCAGAGACATGATTTGTAACTCACTTCGTAAGCTAGAGTCTAGAGACCAAGGAAATGAAACTCTGGAGCACCTGTATAATCGGGCTATGTTACCTACTTGCAAGTGCAGATACTATGTGTAGTTTGCAAGGAATATTAATTTACGTTAATATGCATTTAAGATAATGTAGCCACAGTACCTGTTGTTTATGTGCCTTAGCCAAGCTGAGGAGAGCAGACAGAGGGAGAACCGTGCCGCCCTCCGGATCCAGAGCTGGTTCAGAGCCTGCAGGGTGCGTGCTTACCTCAGGTGAGTCTGTGTGGCAGAGGTGTGTTGGTCCAATTTGAATCTGTCAGTGGTGGAAAGTACAAGTACATTTACTCAATTCATGTACCTAAATACACATTTTAGGTACTCTTTTCCTGAGTATTTTCCTTTTATACTACTTTATACTTCTAACCTTACTTCATTCTGAAAGCCAATATTGTACTATTTACTTTACTACATTGATTTTTATTGATGTATTTACTCATTATTTGTTATAGATTAATCCATCAAACATTATATTTATGCAAGTAACTAAAACCATGAGTGTGTTCATAGAAAAGTAATTGACAGCAATTTTCTAAGAAGTTTTATGTTCAATATTTGAAATTATTTCAATATTCATTTTGTTTTTTCTGCAATAAGTACTATTACTACATTTTCCTAATACTTGTTCCACCACTAACATCTCTAAATGAAAATATATTTTGTTTTCCTTCAAAGGCCAAAGGCAATACAAATAATACAAAACATAATATTTGATATACCAATTTGAGGTTTGCATTTTCCCTCAGGGGAAACACATTCAGACAGGACTCGAATGGTTAATTTCAAGGGAAACCCTGATACTAGCTCACTTTCATAATTATCCCACTTCCAGAGCTTTGCAAATGGCCTGGAGGAATAAATGTCACTTGCACTCTGTGCTCCTTTCACACACAGAAAAATGAATGTCCCTATGTGTGTGCTTGTTCCTATACTGTGACCCCAGCACCATTCTGCAGGGTCAGCAGACAAACTTCCAGACAGTAGGTTAATTCCGATTACTTTAGTTAATTGATCAATGTGTTAAGTGGATAATTAGCAACAATTTTAGCTGCCTAAGTGCAACTCCGGGGTTGTGCTATCCCCACTATAAGCATTGATTTTCTGGGCATATGAATGGCCTTTTGGAAATTGATGGCCTCATTGGAGGCTGAGAATCGCAGTGGACTTGCATTTAGAGTATGTTTGAAGATGAATACAAATGTGTGCCGCTGACTAAAGGCGGTGAAAGGCTCATCGGACATGATCGAAAAGCCTGGAGTAGAAATGTTCCGTGTGTGTGTGTGTGTTTCTGAGAGTGTGTGTCTGTAAGCATAATGTTGCCATGACCTTTTAATTGAAGTCCTTTTCAACCTACCATTTGTATGCAGAAAACAAAGGCACCCTTTCCGTTATTGTTTAATCAGGATGAAAGAGATCACAATGTATTATAGCGGTAGTGAAATAAATGAATAATGTGATTTAATTAATTAAATTGTATTACATACAGGAGCATTTCTGTATACCATTTGTTTTGTAGCTATTTGTATCTTTCTGTTGCAACTCCTTAACGTTCCATATATTTCACCTTTTCTTTCTTTTAGCATAAACAGACTAAAGACCGAACAAAACATCCCCAAAACATATTATTTTCTCTGTGTGTCTGAACAACTTTTTTTAGTGTTTTATTTTTAACAAATGAAAAATACCCATCCCATCCTCTCTCCAAATTGACTTTTTTTTGGAACAGCCATCTGCACAAGAAAGCAATCACTATACAGAAGATATGGCGGGGCTTCACAGCAAGGGCACGTTTCAGACAAATGGTGAAGGTAAGCCTGAGCCTGGAACGGCTATAGATATATTGATTATGTTATGATCGCATGCATTATAATTCAATTGCTATATTCCTAAGTCCCTGCGTCTGACCTTAAGAAATATAATTCACTCATTACACATTGGGAAATTAGCACTTAGGAAATATGATGCAATATGATAAGGAATTCCATCTACATCGCAACTCCTGGGATGTATATAGAAAAAAGAGAGGAACAGAAAGAAGGAAAGGGTAGTGGAGTTTGTGTGTGTGGTGTGTGTACCTAATGTGTGTGCTTTAGTAAAACAAGGCCCCGTTTTCAGCATATTGCCTCCAACTGCTTCTTAATTGAACAGATTGTTGATACCGGATCCAATACCCAGCGCTCTCACGTATAATTTTCCCCTGGATTGAGTTTTGTAAACGTATCACAACAAGCTATTTATCATGCCTGTAAATTGACTGTTTGCTAAAGCATAACTGCCAGCCGTTTGGGAGGCGTTCAAGAAATGGAAAGGGGGGGTTTGGATGGCTGGGGGTGGGGTGGAGGGGTGTTAAAATAAACGATGAAGGATGTGTCACAACACACATATGGGCTAAAAAGAGGCTTTTTAGTCTCATTTGGAAACAGACGAGCACTAATTTGAATCACTCAAAATTGCCACAGTGCACTATTTTGAATTAGCCCTGAGAGATTCTATTCTTCCTCTCTTCTCTCTCTCTGTCTGTCTGTCTTTTTCTTCTCTTACTCTTATCATGTGTAATGTGACATGCACAAAGCCTCATCTCAAAACATCAAGCTGAATTTACAACCTCCTTTCAACTCTTTGTCATCCTTCCCCTTGCTCTCCTCCCTCTCTTCCCTGTCATTATTAAACAAGACGTGTTGAGATATGAATCCCTTTTATGGCCGACTCTCCAGTTTGCTCCTGAAATGTGCCCCCAGCGGTCGGCCGACACGTTTGGTGTGCGTCGGCTCGTTGAGTGCGCCGCTGAATATTCTCTGGTCTTTTGTTTGTCACTTCTGGCAGCGCTGTCATTGATTATGAAATCCAGAGGAGAGCGCTTGGCCGTCATACATCTCCATTAGCTCGCTGCTTGACTACCATAGATTTTCTTGGCCCTTGTCTGCGTCGGTGTATTAAGAGAGCACGGTCCTCCCCTTGATACAAAGTCCTGCTAACCACTCTCTCTCTCTTTTTTTTCTCTCCATCCCCTGACTTCTTCTCTCGTTCCTCTTGTCTCACTTGCTTTCCCTCTTTTCTTTTCGGCCCCCTTCCCTTCTCCCTCCCCCCTCTACAGTGGCCCTATCTGGGCTGCCTGTGTGCAATGTATTATGTATAAAGAGCTCTTTATCTTTGACGCCTGCTGTGGACAGATCAGAGGGCTGGGAGACAAGATGTAACGCCATCTTTTCCTTTGTGTTCACAGGCGGCATATTTGATCATGAAGATGAATTTCTACGAGGAGATGGCGGTCAGGGTAAATATCACCACAGCGTCTTGTTTTTAGCAAATGGATTGTCGTGGTGGGGGGGCACACTGTTTCTTTGCGTGTGCTGTGAAAGGGAGCCCCCATGAATAGCAACCTGTTCAACTTCATCAAACCACTTCATTGGAAAAGAGGTCCATCATAGGAACTTTATAAATCCTTCATGCAGTCTTCTTTTATGACTCTTTTCACACATGGCACTGCGTTGACACAAGGCCTACATTATTCAGGCCTTTTAGAATCACATATAACATACAGCAAATTCTGATTATGGTATAAAGCACATGTGTCAAACTCAAGGTCCGGGGGCCAAATCAGGCCCTTGGTGGATTTAATTTTGGCCCGCAGGATCATTTCTAATTACTATTAGATCTGGCCTGCCGGTATATTGCACGCACACCTTCACTCAACTTGAGGGTTTCCTCAGCTCAGAGCCTGAGCACACTGAGTGTCAATGTTTCCTTCTGCACTTTGTTTCTTGCGACAACAGGACATGTTTGTTTTTCTCTTTGAGGGAAATTGTTTTTTTGAAGCTGTTGTTGGCCTGTGGAAAAATGTAATCATAAGAAATGACTGCAGATAGAGCCATAAGAAATTAATGCAACTGATTATTTAATGTTTAATGTTGTTTTTATAGGCAATAATTTAAGCTTTGTTAGTTCCAGGTTTAATATGTGCAATAAGTTCATTTAATACGTTTTGCAATAAACATTGAACCAGTCCGGCCCTCGACTAGTACCCATTTTTAAATGTTGGCCCACTGTGTATTTGAGTTTGACACCCCTGGTATAAAGAAAGGATATATCATTATAATGTCTCTACGAATCAGACATCATTTGGTTCCTATACACTTACAACATTGACCACTTGTTATACATAACCATTAACCTTGTTCTATTCAGGCACAGTGCTTTGGTAAGTAGCCCTCTGATTAAAGTCACTTCTCAATGCTATCCTTTTTATGTATATAAATATCCTGCTTGTATTTCATTTTTTTTAGCAACTTAAATGTACCTTTCTCAGTGCTAATGCCGACACATTCTTCCTCTATCCCCTCAGAAGGTACAACTCATAAATCATAAGGCCGTGGCTGTGATTGATGCTTTGGCACTTTTACACAAGGAAATTGCTCAGAAACCTTATATTTTTACAATTCCATATAGCCGACTCTTTTGGCTAACTGTTTCGTTCTGCTAAACCATTAAAAGGGTTTTATAGGCCAACAAAAAAATCCACTAGTGTTTATTGAACAGGGTGTGTTGCCTTCCAGATGGACAGAGATGGTTGCAGTATTTTCACATTGGTGAAAAAGACTGGAAATTGAGGGCTTCACGTTTAACTCTTAATCGAAACCGAAACATATAAAGCTGACCACCCGGTTGTTCCAATAAATGTCACATAATAGGAGCGCCAGAGATCCAGGAGCAATGCTTTTAGGTCAGGGGGGGAAAGGTTAGGGTTGATGTCACCATGTAGAGCGGAGCAGAAGCTTTTTAAGTTTGAGCTAAGAGGCATTTATTGCACATATTAAATAACCACGGTTTCCTAAAGGAAGCAATAGGAATTTTAATGGAAATGAAATGTATGTTAAGAGGCAAGCAAAGTGGCTCAATGGTTAGCAATTGGAGAAGGTACTGGGTTTCAACCCCACATGGGCCAAATGAGGCCTTTCTGTGCAGTGTGCATTTTATTGTGTTTTTCTCTGAAATGTTCTCCCACCAAAAAGACATAGATGAAGGTATTAGGAACACGTCTGCCACTGCAATTAGCAAAAGTCTTTAGCCTCAGTAGCAGAGCTGTTAGCGCTAAAGTTTAACCTCAGACGAGCCCTTCTGATACATTGAACTTTTGTTTCGAAAAATAGAAGGACACAGTTCCAAAGAGGGACATGTCTGCTCACAGATCATCTTCTACCAAATAAATATTCAACGTGTAAATAGAGATAACGAAAGGGAGAAACAATCATCTCAGAATCCCCTTGTGACACATCCTTTGAATCAATTCTGATTCTTTTTTTTCCTTCTCTCCCCTCCTGTTTTCTTTATCACGGCGTGGTAGCTAACAGAGGATAATGTATTAGGGCCGTAATAGAAACCAGTGTTTACATGCCGCACCTCAGATTTGTATTAGATTCAACAGCATCGATTTCACTAGTCAACAAAGGTCAGCAAGAACTCGGGAGGCGGCAATTACTTTATTTAAAATTATCTATTGACTGGCAGATCAATGCTAATTCTCATTTTGCTCTTTGTTGTTTTTCCCCATCCTCCACTCCACCTCTTTTCTCCTCTTCCCTCCTCTCATAGTGTGATTATTCTTTTACCTGCCATTGTTTTAATCTCCTAATTAGTCTGAAGGACATCCGCCCCCTTGCTTTAAAACGGTCCAGTGGTGACTGTGTGTGTGTGTGGGTGTGTGTGTGCTAGCTAATCTGCAGCCTCCACAATCAATGTGGACTGATACAGTTAAACGTATGGAGCTGTGACAGCTGTCTGTCCTCCCTTGGGTTGTCCCCCCACCACTGCAGAGTTAAAACTGCATGCTGCACTGTATTCTTATTGCAAGTTCAAGTAATACGAAAAAAAACCTGTATTTATTTAGATAACGATGACAAGACTCAAAAACTCAAAACAATGTATTTTGAAAAATTAAGAACTCAAAACACAGTAACATCAGGGTGAGGGGGTTAGGGTTAGGGTTAGGGTTAGGGGGTCACAATACTTTATCTTACTGCTTGTGAGGGCATCCCTGACTTTGTTAATCATTGAAAGAATTGCTACTCAAAAACTAAATATATATTTGAGGCATCAAGGTTGCCACACACCAGCATTGGTCATATATTTGGTGTTGAAAACATCTAACAAACACCTCTCCTTTATTCCCTCACAGATCCAGCGGAGATGGAGAGGATTCTTTGTGAGGAAATATATTCATAACTTCTACGCACGCAAGAGATACCTGGAAGGACTTTCCAGGAAGAACGCACTTGTCAGGTTAGAAACAAAAATAATTAGTTCTGTAAATAAGGCTCAAGAGAGCAGAACATTTGATATCATTGTAATTGAAAAGGTTACTACACATAGTGCATTATACAGGTTAAGACCGGTGCCTCAGCGACAAGAAGGAAACAAGGTGAAAGGAAACGATTAGATACAGTACTTCACTATTTCTCCTGTCTTTTCCCTTTTCTCTCCTTTCTCTCTCTCTGTCTAGCCGTGTTTTTGTATCTTCACTTATGTGTCGTGTTAAAATATATATTTTTGCGCAGGGACCCGTAACAGGACTTTCAGCTGGTACATGTCAGACATGATGAATTGATTTGATTAGGGTAAAGGCAGTTTTTAAAAGGTGTACTTATATACCCAAAATGTGTGTGTTAGAGAGCTCTGTATTTGCGTAGCTGTTACCTCGGGGGAAAAGGAGCAGGGACAGGAGATGAGGAAGGGAAAGTGAAGGAATGAGAGAGACAAAGAGGTAGAGGAGAGAGAAATAGAGAGAGGGAAGTCCTCTAAAGCGCTCGAGGCTAAGAGAGAGAGAAGTGAACGATGTGAAGAAATTAAAAATTAGCCTCTGATTTGAACCGCAGCTCGTGCATTAATAAAACATCCTGTGCTCCAGGGCTTACTGCTAGAGATACGCCATCTTTTATTTTTGACAAAAAAAAACATCACGTTTAGCTAATAGTCACATTTTTAATGTTGCTAATATATTTTACCAGAAAATATCTTTAGGCTTCTGCTAAAATTAAATGTAAATTTATTAAAGTGCTCCTTGGATCACTGACTTCCCCCTCACGGCCCCAGCAGCGCTCCACCTTTCCTCCACACGGCGTGCCCCTTTTAGAGGTAGGGAGAACTAGGCTGTTAAAGTCCATTAAGAGTGATGCCACTTTAGCATTATATCACACACACACACACACACACACACACACACACACACACACACACACACACACACACACACACACACACACACACGCTACTGTCGATGTCAAGTCTTTAGTCGCTATATAAGGGACACAAGATTTTGAACCGATACAATACAATGTGTTTAGAATAATATATTTGTTCCACTTTGACTTGCAGAAAGTAGTCCTCATTCCTATACTGCACAGCGTATTGTCTTTCAAACCTGACTATAAAGCACAATGAGCATTTTAATGAGTATTAGAGAAAATACATTTGTAACGTTTAATAAGATTAAAGGTTACACAGCTTGATATTTGTTTCATGCCAACCAGTAAACTACATTTGTTTCCCTCATACTTTAAACATTTTAGGATGGATATGATGGGTTTGCATATTGCTGCTCATAACATTGTGTGACTTTTGTATTCACAGTTATTGATACCTTCACACCTTAAATATTGCTATAGAAAAATATACAATTATATACAAAGATTAGAGTAAGAATAGATCAGAGAAATGTGGAATTGTAAAAACAAATTCAAGTAACACAAGATGTAATGTTATTTTTGTCTTGATTCAAACTGATTTATTATCAATTGTCACACACACACACACACACACACACACACACACACACACACACACACACACACACACACACACACACACACACACACACACACACACACACACAGCCCCTCCTCCACTGTGGTTTGGGGTGTTGAGGTCACTTTCTCTCCAGTTAATCACATGTTTATTTAGTGCTGCCGGGGTCACGATCAATTAACGGCGTGCCGGCATTTATTTAAAATATCCTTTCTGTGTTAGCCGCTGAGCCCTCGGATCGCACGCTGCCTGATCACTCACCCCACAGAGGTCCGCTTTTTAATCCACCACAACGCTCCCTCCCTCCTATAAGTCTGTGTGTCCGTCCGTCCCACTGCATAAATTATTCAAAGTTGGACTAATGGTCCCCGTTTAGTGCAGGCTGATCGGCTGCGCATGGTAATGATATAGGAGTAATACATAGACTGCCTCTTTTCTCTGACTCGGTTCCAGTCCCTCTTTCTCTCTCGTGACAGATCTCCCCCACACGAAACCATCTGTGTCATTTCATTAGGTACAGCATCCAGCTAATACTTACACTACCCTCTTCTATCCCCTGCCCTCTCCTCACCTCCTCCTTCAATCTCTGCTTTCTCCTTTTCCTTCTCAATCTGTTTTGCTCTATATTCTTCTCTCCCTCTCTCTGCCTCTGGTTCTCAGTGCTTCAGTGTCCATCCTCATTCATCCTCATCCTTCCTCTCCTTCTGCATAGCCTAATGAAGTCAGGACCCCGGCGCAGTCCCCACTCTGCCACAGTTTTCCTTGATACCCCAACAATTTATCACTTTGTCAGGGAGACACTTAAAGTTCCCGGGCTTTAATAAGGGCAGGGAGTGGGACGATGGGGGCAATTAGGAAAGCGGAGCAGGCCCGCTTTGCATATTTACTAAATGTGCCGGTGTCATCACTGCCGCCACCAACACGGCCTGTTGCCTGCATGAATTATTCCTCTATCTGCAATAAACAGCGGGGTGATTATTACTGCCATAATAAGATAAATAATTCTCCCTGTGATGTTGCAACAACACGGCAACATCTTTTAACTTCTTCTACAGAGAACAAGGGGAGAATTTATGGACTTGGTGTTGCTAGGCTGAGCAGCGCTAGTGTTTTTTTAATTCTTCTCTTCTGGTGCTATGCTGCCTCTCTTTCTCTCTTTACTCCAGCTTCTCTTGTGTCTCTCTCAAGGACATTCATGAAAGGAGAGCTGCGATGGTGAAGAGAGTGCGGGCCTGCGATCGCTCTCCGCTTCTATGCGTCAGTCTTTCTTTCGCTGCCCTTTCCTTCTGATCCAGTTTGGGTGGAGACGAGTTCACTCCTTCAGTCTGATTGGATTTGTATGTGGTGTGTGTTCGTGTGTGTGTGTGTGTGTGTGTGTGTGTGTATAATCTGGGTGCCTATGCCTCTTAAGAAAATGAATTTGAAAAGTAAAAACAATGGAGAAAAGTATGTAAAATGTGCGAAGTTGTTCAGTAAATGCTTTTCTTTTGGAAGGATTGGTTAGAGATCATTTTAGCTCTGAAAATATTGTTTTCTACCACGCTTTTTGAGGACATCACTGTTACTACTTTACTTTAGTTAATCAATCAGTCACTCACTTAAAAGGAAACCTTGTGTTATTAGGGTGTTGAAGGCTCAATACATTGAACCGGTCACTGTTTAAATTGACTGGCTGACTACCCTCTCCTTGCCAGCTATTGAATCATTTAATTGGAGCAATTAAAACAGCCAATCAGGTCAAGTCTCCATTAAATATTTAGACCTGGCCAATTAGCTGCTCCGGTGCTGGCCTGGATGACCGCAGGTGTGGCCTGCTGTCCCACAATGCCTCACTTTCTGATATTCAATCAGCCTTTGATGCCCCGTTGTGAACCAGGTAGTGAATAATTGAGGAAGAAGTAAGAATTTAGCTGTACTATATTAGCCATTTAAATAAGTAAACAGTCCAGGGTGAAAATGTCAGTTAGAGTTTAAATGATTTGAAAGAAGTTCAAATGTGTTTGATAAGCTTGACTTTTCAGAAGTCATTCAAAAATAAATCTGTAGTCAGAGTGCTGGAAGTCCATAATATGGCCTGCTAAGCTCATCGAAACCAACCAAAAATCTATATAATTTTAAATAAATGCAATGTTAAAATGATGTTATAATGTGCGAATAAAATGTCAAACGCCAAACAAAAATGAAAATATCATTGCACAATGAAACTGTATAAGTAACATAGCTAAAAGATCACATTCATAAATATATTTTTCAATATCCAACAAGCATTATGCATAGGTTAACTAAACTTCATGTTGCTTTTAAAACAACACCAGGTGTCAATATGTACACTGATACAGGTGTGCTATCTATAATAACTCCTTGTGTTACTGGCCATGAAGAAACCACTCCCTAATGCACTTTCAAGTTAAGCGAGGGGGGACAAACTCTGCAGTCTTTCTGTTGCTTTGGCTTTGGAAGATCCCCACTTGGTTTGTGTTGCTCAGAAAGCTGAAGACTCATATAAGCATTGGATAAACTCCAAAGTTGAGTTGATCACGATGATTCCTAACAAGGTATCAGCGTATGTTAATGAATGAAATATAACACAAATCGATACATTCCAAGCTTCTGTCTTTCTTCAAATTCAAGAAAATACACTCTTTTACACAGACACACAAACACACTCAGGGCACGTGCTGCCTGCCGAACAGGGCTAATGAGGGTTGTATGTTGTGGCGGCTGGTTGGGTCGACACAGATCGAGGTGCCTTCAGCCGTTACAAATCTGTTTGGCTTTTGTCCACTACACAGCAATTAATAACACTGGGGCTGGGGGCAGGGAAGCAAAGGTCACCTATTCAGACACACACACGGACACACGGACACACTCACATATATATAAGGACACAGGCGTGTGGACTCACATACAAGCACAATTGTGTGAACAAGTAATATGAACATTGATAGACACACACACACACACACACACACACACACACACACACACACACATGCACACACTGATACAGTCACACTTAAATACTTTCAGCTCAGACGGCACAGACGTATGAGAACAGGTCCTGATCCCCGAAAACATTGCTAGTCTCTTTTTAAGTCGATATTAATGCATGAACGAACGGAAAGACAC